TTCAACAGTAGTTGTAGCGGCACAGGGAGGGCAAAGAACTGGGGAGGGCGATGGAATCACACCGCCTGGAGCACCCGCTAAGAGTTCAGCTTCACGACGCGCAACTTCTGCTTCCCGCACGGCAACTGCGCTTTCCCTTGCTATGAGAGCTTGGGTTCTTTTCGGTGTAAGGTACCCCAGGACACCTGCAGAGCCCGATTCAGATCCGGCGGCAGCCGATGAACTGGACGGAAGAGAGAGCATGACGGCGAGAACAGCAAGAACAAGAGACAAAACAAGAAGAAGGGTAGTCGAAGAGATGGTTCGATGATGGTGATGAGAGCGCTCCCGCTCGCGTTCACGTTCGCTTCGGTGATGACGCTCACCGTGATGGGAGGACGAGGGTTGGGCCATTCTCCTGACTTTCGAAAAATGAATATTATAAGAGGAAAATACGTTCAAAGATTGAACAAACCGCTAATTGACGAACTCGGCGACAAGGATGTGGCAGTGGGGGGGGGACGTAAGATCGACGTGGTGGAAGACTTAATGGTGAAAAAGGGTGTGCGCTGTAGACACTGTTTAGCTTAAAAGAATAAGAGGGCAAGAGAGGGCGGTAACGCAAAAGTTGAGGTAAAAACGGTTTTAAGATGGGAGTTTATAACAAGGTAACGCGATGCCAGTTTCTCGCAAAATTTTGCCATTTTCATTGTTCAACCACCACGTGTTGTAACACGTGTCCTTTGTTTTTTTTTAGCACACAATCTGGTTTAATTGTCATCACGTGTAAATAATTTGTGTATACAGACAGATTCAACGCGTTTCCTCATTGTGGTTGTCGCCAACGTACGACGGACCCCACTGTTATTTACGTTTGAACATTTTTCTGACGGCACCTTTATCCAACATTTCAACTTAATACGTATCGTGGAACTAAACATTACAGCGCTTTTTATGGCCCTCCGTAGACTGGCCCAAACGAACCACGCTGCAACCGTTGGTTCTCCTAGGAGCCCTCAGGAGGCTTCGGCGCCAGATTCACCTGCAGGATCCCCTATGGGCAGTATGGCGCCAACTACACCACGTAACCGCGTTTCTATCGGTACTTATCGATCCCCCGCCTCGACACCCTCCATATCTTCATCCGTCCCGTTTGACTGGGACGCCGCTCGCTCACGGCGGCCTCCACCTTATGCTAGCCCCCTTCAAAATAACCGAGGGCGTACCAGTATGGGGACGGGTAGCACAACACCCGGTACGCCAAAAAGGAAAGCTGTGATTCGAAAGAAGGGTATTTTAGAGAGGTGCGTAGCCTATTATGGTACCTCTAGCCCCCTTACCCTGTTCATCAGAATCACCTCTATTCCATCTACGATTGCCTTTGAGATTGCTCTCTTTCCCCATAATGTTCCATTACCAACACCGACGAAATCAGCGATATTGTTGGGAGGTTTTATGCACTTTTTGCACCTCTGCATTCGCATTACACAAGTCAGCAAAGTTCCGGACTCTGAGTTAGGCTGGGAAGATCTGTACGGAGAAAGTGAAGGAATATCCTGGTTCGACTGGGTTAGAAAATATATCGCTTCGTTCTCTGTTCAGTGTTGACACACCTTTAGACGGTTCCAGTCTCGATTCTACTCCTTTCAGTCTCTTGCTTGAATGCTTTAAATCTTTTTAGTCGCATAAAACTCTATCGTCTTCATCAAAAACCTGACCCCGTCTCGTCTCCAAATGCACGGTTTGTTTCTGCGCAGCTCGATTTCGAACCTCTAGAATTACCATCACTCCCGTCACGTATTCGTGCAGGCATATGGTTTGCACTTTCTTGTTCCTGGCGATTCCTTCTAGGCATGCAACCACCGCCATCACCTGGTCAGATGCCAGGAAAGATGTCACGCGTTCAGCAAATCGATGTTTGGTCACCAGGAGACATGGAGATAGTTCTATTTGCGATATACTCCCCTGCTCATTCACTAATGTGGATGGCCACCGGGTCATCTAATTGGATCTTCATGATTGTCTTAATGGTAATTATGGGGGCGCAGGTATATTATCTCGTTTATTCCCCAATCTCGTGTTTGAATCGCCCCCTAGCTGTATACACAGACCCGATGGTTCAACACGTTATTAAAAGACAAAGAAATCATAGCAGCAGAGGTTTTGAACGAGTACAATCAAGGAGTTCGTTATTTCATTAAGAAAAATCTGTGGTGTATTCACATTTCCTTATCTCACAGTTTGTGTATCCAAGGATCAACCCTATCCGGAAGGACGTAGCGGTTATGACCCACCAATCCGAAATCGTTAATGTTTGGGAAGATTGAAAATATACTCAACCTTTAATGAATAATAGCATACGTGGTTGTTATTATCCATTAGCAACGTCATCCCGGATTTTGCGATATTTCAACTCATAGATTACATTATTTAACCTGAGAACACGCAAACATACACAGCCACTCCATACTTGCAATGTCCTGTGAATAGTTTATGTTTGGAAGAATAGTTTTTGGATACATATATACACCACTTCGATTGAATAACTTCTATTCTGACCATGGTATTCAAGCGGTGCTTCGTGCGTATGCTTTTTTCTTTCTAGTACCTAATACATGATATCTATTGCCCGTATTATTAGTACTTCGATCGGAACGGGAACCCGCTACGACAGGGCTGTCCACGGAAAGCCTCCTGTCACTTCATACATCCCAACGATCCTGAGTGGGACAAGGCCCCGGATTCCTTCCCTCCGTTGCATATTCGGCAGCGTTGGTCCCCACCAGCGGAGACACGAAAGTTTGAGACTCCAATCAGTCCAAGGGAACACAACAAAGGCACCTCGCGGTATAGAAGCCGCCGTACCCCTTCTCCACATAAACACAACTCAAGGGACCGTTCTGAGGGAGAAGTCTCACGCCACGACGAAGCCTTAGGGAAGTTTCGCCGTCAAAGCAGCGACCAGAGAAGGTCGGAGACCAGTGTACCAGACGACAAAGCTTCATCGTTAGCCCCACACGCCGACAGTATTTCCCTTTCTAATACCGAGGTTGGCGATCATCCAATGGCCCCTCCTCCTATACCCTCTTCGGTGTCACTTAGCCCACCGCCACCGCCACCTCCACCCCCGCCCCAGCCATCTTCAAATAACGTCCTTACATTTCCACCACCCCCTCCAGTCCCCACTGCACCCTTCTGGCGAAAGGGGTCCCCAGCCACGTACCCCGACCCAACCCCCGAAGAGGCGCGGAAGTCATGGCTTGAAAGAATCAAGTTAGTAATTAATTCATCACACAAATCATATATTAAGCTGCCACTAGACTTATGACAGAATGTCTACGGAAAGAAAAAATCCTCAAAAAAATCCAGAAAGACTTGACAGAGGCTAAGCTTGACTTGACCAGACAACGTGTCGTTACGCTTCCGGAAGTAAACCAGAGAAAAGCCAAGGATCATCTCACCAACTTAGAATTTCAACGTGATGAGACAGAAAAGGCGTTTGAAAACAGCATCTTGCGGCTGATCAAGTCGAAAAGTTGGCCAGTGGCCCCTCAACTAGTGGATGGCGGTCAAGTCGAAAAACCTCAGGAAATACTAAATTATCTCAATGATTTAATAAACAAATCCGCAGAGATGCACAAGGTCTTGATCGACATACAAGAACGGGGTGCTTCTTCCCTAGTAGGCGCTACTTCAGATATGGATGTTGATCCACAAAGACCCTTAAAGCGAAGGCGTCTTTCTGAATCCGAGTCGTCGATACAATTTCAATCACAGCCCTCCGCACAAGAGTTAGAAACCTTGCGCGATAGAGTTCTTAACATTGAAGAGCGCTTCTCAGCATTCAAAAATGACTTGGACGTTCATGATGCAGAGCTGCTTGAGGTAATAGACGAGCGCCTAGATGCCAAGCAAGAATCAATCAAGTTTGGTCAAACAGCTGCATCGACCATTTCCCAAGATGAACATCAAGAAGTCCAACAAAACATCAACAAAACCGGGGCAGACATGGATGAAATCGCAACTGAAATAACCGATCTCATTAAGCAGACCACCGCACAGGAAGCCGACAGAGTAGCAATCCGACGCGAAATAGAAACCCTGAACAGTAGTTTCCAAGGGGTGTGTTTATCCCACAAATTTCATTGCCATAATTTTGATATCTTCCACAGTTTCAGGATAAATTACAACGATTTGAAGCCAATAGAGAAAAACATCGTATGACTATTGAAGCTCTTGAAGCAGCTGTTTCTGCACATGTGGCTCAGCCTCCATCACCACCCGGTTCACCCCACATGCCAACACACGATCATATCCTTGAAGAGCTCGAGGATTCCGTTGTGGATATGGTCCGCGCACATACGAAACCACTGATTGAGACGATGCGCTCACAGGTCGAGGATCTGCTACGCATTCAGAACAAGGAAATGTATGATATTTTTTCAAGCAAGCTCACTCTTACCCTCCGGACAATGGAAGCCATTTCTGGAAGGATCGGGGTTTTAGAAAGACCGAGTATTGTACCCGGACCATGAGGTATGTAATTTTCAACGGTATGGAGGGCATTGCAATAATACTCATGATTACCTTGTTATATCCCAAGATTATCTCATTTTTGTAATTGTAACATACCTGAAATAGGAGAAAGTTGTAACGGGTTTTTGTATTATAACCTTGAAGATAGATATGTACACATAAACTTGAATAATCCATCTCGTGTGTTGCCCCCTGGACAAATGCCTAATTATTAGACCCCTTTTCTAATTTAGGTAAAACATAGTAAATTGTAAAATGCACTAGAAATATTGTGGAAACTGGAAAGGGATATAAACAGTAGAAAGAGTATACATGATATAATTAATAGCTTGACTGCCCAATGGCGCACCAACATACGCATCTCGGGGCTCGAGTCGTAAAACTTGCTTGAATTATGTGTCAGATTTTGGGAAATATTGAGCGGAAATATTTAGTTTCTCCAGTCCCACGATGCTCTTGATTTTACAAAGCTGGCCAAACTTTCAGCCCGTGTAGCTCAGCGGTAGAGCATTGTACTTATGAGGATAAATTTGGCCGGATTGTGATATGCAAGGGTCTCGAGTTCGAATCTCGGCATGGGCACTTTTTGGATATCACTTAATTTTTTGTAAGTACGAAAACACTTATGGCGCCGTACTGCTCATTGCACCCAATTCAACGTGATACACTGTAGACTTGCAGTAGTCTCCATACCGCAAACCTATCAACTGAAGTAAGGACCACCATCCCTGATATATTTTTGGGATGAGTAATGGCTGTAGCGTGCCTATGAATGGATCATTTATCAAGAACGGACAGGGCCCCCCATTGAATGATTAGATACAAAGTACAATGTCATCTGACCCGATATTTGTTATACAGATGAGCCTTGTTCCTCGCGGCATTTACCACCCGATATTTGAATGAATTTGTTTCCAACTCGACCACCCTGCTCATCCGAATGTGTGATCCACATAATTGCTTTTAAAGAGGCTCGTTCAGAGCGAACTTCGTTTATTAGGTATCTCTCAACTGCGAGAGATGATGCTGGATCCAAGGCGGACGTCGGTTCTAGATGGAACATTAGGTAGAGAACAGCTGACATTTCGTAAAATGATCGAACCGTCTAGTAAGAGCAGCTCTGCTGAATCGAGCCCGAGAGCGATAGCTAGGGCAATTCTCTGGGCTTCTCCTCCGCTCAGATTTGACCATTCGCGATCCCAAAGCTGCGGAGATATATCCCAAGAACTCGCAATATCCATTGCACGCTGCAGAGGTGAAGTCCGTTGCGCACTTTTCTTCGCAAGTGCTTTGTGAGCATCGAGAGCAATGATCGCAGATAAAAAGTCTTGGGGTGATCCAGGAAGCATTGAAGGTCTCTGAGGGACGTACAACACCCGAATCCTATAAGAAGGAACACCTTCGGTATATACAAGGTTAGGTATCGCCAGGAGCCTTTGTGTGTGGACTCACCATAGATAGTGGGTGCGCTAGATGGATAGATTAACTATTGCTAGGTGCAGACTGAAAAAGAGACACTTGCCTACCGCGGTAGAGAATGGAACCACCATAAAGAATCAAATGGGCAATGCATTTCAAGAGCGTAGTTTTTCCAGATCCACTTTTCCCCCGAAGTATAACTATATCTCCTGGAGTGTTTTGTGTTTAGTGCAGAGGCTGGTTCAAGAGCTGAGGCAATAGACCTTCGTTGACAACCAAATTAACGTCTCTAAAAAGAGGCTGCTCATCTTTGACGCAGGAGACATTGCAAAGTTCCACTAATGGTGGACTCATGTGAAAAAGCCGAAGTAATGAAGCGATCATAGCATATTAACTAATTGTAATAACAATGATGTCATAAAATGTTCCAAGCAGATAAGTCTAAATGTATATCAGACTGGGAGATATAAAATTAGGACTGTAATTATATTTGAGGAGGCATGCCCATTTCCTCTGGTGTCAATGTAGTGCTCTCAATCATCACACCTACGCCAACCTTTGCAGCATTCTAGGCATGAAATGTCAGTATTCGTAATATACCTACTAGAACCACGCACCTTGAAGTGGTCTATCTCTCCTGACACCAAGAATGCGAAAGCTGGGGTGAACCGTTGCTCTAACAATGCTGACACCTTCCCGGTAGAATCGACCTGAGCCCTAAACGTCGCAAGACGGAGATCATATTTGGCTCCTAGAGTAGCAACTGCGTCTCGTCGAGCAGGAGTGGCAATGAGCTGGAGGTCAGCTGCAACCTCAACCTTTTCGCTAAGCTTCTGCCAGTAAGTGGCCTGCAAGATACCTGCAGTCTGAAGCTGTGCAGTAGCGATCCAATTACTGTTGTTACTCGTATATTTGGCCAAGTAAGATGTTGTCAACTCTGCAAGATCCGGGGACGGTCGCTGGTAGAGTGCCTCAACCCCAAGAGCGATATTTTTGGTGAACGATTGAAGATAACTCCCGACATAAATGCCGGTAAGATCCGCTGGCCAAGGGTTGACAGCTTTTGCGTTGATACTGAAATCCTGGCCTTGATAATCGTGTTCGATTTGTACCATGTTCTGGCTCGCTTGTGATGAGAACTAAAGCGGTTACCAAGGTTGCGTCAGAGCATCTCCCGAAAAGATATGGTTGGTGTGCGAACCTGAGCCTGGACTTTTGTAATATTTCCAGGTGTCCAACCTTGGTTCAAACGAGCATTTACGTTTCCATCGTGGTCAACCCCTCCTTGAAGGAAGATCTTCACGCGAATGTTAAAAACTTAGGTGCCACGTAACAAGATATTTTTTTAAAAAAACAAGAACCTTTTGGTTAGCAAATATTGCTCCGAAATTATAAGACGAGGGTAGTGTTTGCGACCCCAACGCGAAAGAATGCGTGACTTGAAAAAGAGGATTCGCTGACAAGCTCTTCGTCAGGTCGGCACGAGCTCCGTCGAAAATATAATTTGACAGATGAGTAGCTAAACGTGCGTTAGGGCCCATGCAGCATCTTGTCAGCAGGGGTACTCACATTTGACTTCCTTTTGAAGGTTTTCGACAGTGCCCGGATGTGGCAAGCCAAGGTCAGTTCGCCACTGTGCAAAGCGATCATAGGCGTCCGTAAAGGGGGAGATGGGGTTGAAATAGGAGTATTTAGTGGGGATAGAGGTATGCGGGGCGTATGGGTCAACGAGGCCATCTTTCTCAGTATGTGAAGTGGACGCCATGGGAGGCAACAGTCAGTGTTCCACCCGTTGACAGACTTTCCTAAGAAAAAAGTAAACCAAATACGCACAAATCATCACGCGTCCGACTTTACCCTCACAGCAGGTGACTCACTGAATCCCCTGGCCCTGACCCTCATGTAGTGTTAATGCCGTTTTTTTAAAACATTCTTGATCTCAGCATAATCGATGGAATATCAACTACCGCTGGGTCGCGTCGCTGGATACACCCTCAGGAGTTCTGGACGACCTTTTTTTTTATTTATTACCCAATTGGTTGTAGGACAAATATTATCGATTCATCGGGGCAGCAACATTTATATGGCGTTGGGAATATCGGCTTAGGAGGGGGGGATTATGTCCTCTTTATCACTACGACGCGAAAAGTCCTCTGATTCACCGTGTTACGTCGCAATACTATTTTTAGGGCTATATCTCAGCGCGACCATATCAATGATCCCACTCCAAGATTGTATCCACGTTGACACCCACGGTTTCAGACTGCGGACACTCAGTATATAGAGGGTATCTTTCTTGTCCATCTTCCTACCATCTTAATTCGTTATGCTGTCAGCCAAGCGATGTGTTATTGCGATATTTGTGGTAGTGGTGTGTACTTTCTTACTTTAGAGATACAAACCTGACAACGCACCAGGCCTGTCTTCATTTTTTGGTCGAATATAATGACCTAGTAGCATACTTGCCTTATTTCACTCATCGTCAGCCATCTGGTGGGGACAACACCACGACATCGCCGAACACAAATATAGACGAACCAATTCGTCACAATTTTTCTTACAAACAGAGAGCCAACGCAACATTCATACTTTTATGTAGAAATAGCGACCTAGCCGGGGTGGTTTCGAGCATTCAGCAGATGGAAGACCGTTTTAACAAGCAATTTAAGTACCCTTGGGTTTTACTCAACGAAGAACCATTTACAGACGAGTTCAAGAGGTAACCGTCCTCAGTCTTTTAGCCCACTTGTCTAACCTATCGCCAGTCGAGTTAGTGTTCTTACGGATGCCCCTATTTTCTTTGGCCAGATTCCCCATGAACATTGGTTTCAACCGAGTTGGATCGACGAGAGCCGAGCTCGCGAAGGACGTATGAGAATGACATGGCAAGGTATTATCTATGCAGGTGAGCCCTCTATGTATATCAACTTTTAGAATAAACGTATAGTAGGACATTTTCAAGGCAGCGTCCCGTGCGTATACCAATCGTGACTATGCTGTGACCTGTTGATAGTTCATATAGATACCGGAACATGTGTCGCTTTAACTCTGGTGTGGGTATACCTGTTATTTCTATTCAGTGTTCAAGGATCCCCAACAAAAATCTGCAGTTCTTCTTCCATCACGAGCTCCTGAAACCGTATCGGTATTATTGGAGGCAAGTTCTCGAATTTATTCTTATCGGTAATGTTACTGATTATTGCAGAGTCGAGTGTGTTTAACTTTTTTATTTTGTTTAAATTTATCTGCGTATAATTCTGGACCGGCTGATCGTCTTTTTCGATCAGGCCAGACGTGAAATATTTTTGCGATGTTGGGTACGACCCCTTCCTATACATGGAAAGAAATAATAAAGTATATGGTACGATTCTCTCGGTTATAGTATACCCTTTTACATCGTCTAAATTGTCCAGTAGGGTTTACTATATCGCTGTTAGAATGGGAACCTACAATACCAACATTGTGGTCCACTGTGAAAGGTCTGTATTTGTTGTTTACCACCAGGACTGAACCATATTACGTGATTCAGACTTCATTGCTGATAATCCGCAATTTGTGGAGAAGAACAACTCTATAGCGTTTCTTTCTGACAATGGTGGTGAAAGCTATAACCTGTGTCATTGTAGGATATCATTTTTAAAAGATATATCGGATTTCACCTGATCAAAAATCTAATATAGATTGGAGCAACTTTGAAATTGCAGATATGGATTTCTGGCGAGGTGAGGCTTACCAAGCCTTCTTCCAGTATTTAGATTCGAAGGGTGGCTTCTATTATGAGGTTTGGCCTCTTTGCCTTGGTGCAGCATATCGTGAGCTGATATCGGGCGTGCCTAGCGCTGGGGAGACGCGCCCATTCACAGCATCGCTGTATCGCTTTTTGCCAGAAAAAACCAAGTACATTTTTTTCATGACATTGGGTACAGACACGATCCTTTCCAGCACTGCCCCTCGGGAAATGAGTGGTTAGGTGGACGTTGCTCGTGTGATTCAAATGACAGTTTTGGTAAGTGAATATCATGAGATTCTCAAGACCGTAACCCATTTTGGACAGACTATGCGCCGAATTCTTGTATAACTCGGTATGAGGGTCTGTTTAGGTAAAGGAAGTTAGTAGAGATGAAATGTACAACTTTCTTCAGTAGCACTTCATTTTATATATA